ATCCCCAGCCCTTTTTGTATTGAGATAGGGCCTTGCTAAGTTGCTGAGGCTGGACTTGAATGTTCAATCCTCCTGCCTCAGCCTCCCAAATCAGTCAGATTTCAGAATAATTTTAAAGTAAGCATGGAAGTTTTATATGTTTACAGAACAAAATGAGAATCTCTGGTAGGGGTTGTGGCTCAGTGGTGGAGTGTTTGCCTATCATGTGCAAGACCCTGGGTTCGATCCTCAGCACCACATAAAAATAAAGGTATTGTGTCCAACTACAACTAAAAAATAAATATTAAAAATTCTCTCTATCTCTCTCTCTCCTCTCTCACTCTCTTTAAAAATAAATAAATAAATAAAATAATAAAATAAAAAAATAAGAATCTCAGTCTTCTTTTATTATGTACTGTTGGTGCACAGGGACAGCATTGAGGCATGGACGTAATTTAGGGAAGATAAAATGCAGTCCCGAGGATTGTCAAGTGTTGCTAGATCTAGGACTGTCTCCGTATAAAGCATTATCACCACTTTGTACTGTAGAAAATGAAAACAATAGTAGTTTGTCCAGGGCCATATTCATTGTGGGTGAGATTTGAATTTGACCCATTGCATGCAGCCTCTGGAATGCATCCTGAGCTCTTGCCATCAGGGCAGGTAGATCCTATGGGGTCTGAGACCTCCATCTCGTATTGCTGGATTCCCTCCGCCCCTCCCTTCCTTCCTCTTTATTCAGAAAGCTTCCCTTTGTAGTTTAAAGGGAGATCTTCTTGTGTTGCCCTTAGAGTGGTCTCAGGTTGGGAGTGAGGGAAGAGGGTGCACGGTGTGGGGGAAGTGGAGCGTGCTGACTGCCCTGGGTCCTCTGTGGTGAATAAAGCTTTCTTCCTTGGAATTACTTTTTTTTTTTCATAGAGTAGAATGAAAAGCTGTCATCATGGGGGTTTCTGAAGGCTTGCTATGTTTTTCCTGCCTCCCTATATATTTTTGAGGGTGTGAAGTTTGTGTCTGAAGTGTGTGAGGCCATGATGGAGTTTTCTTAGGTGTGAAATGAACCATAATATGACAGTATGTTCTGAACCAGAATAGCTCTAACTTTTGATCAAGATATACATAAAGAAAAATTTACCCATCATAACAGTTAAGTGAATTTTCACAGACTGAACACACCCTCATACATGGCACCTAGCTGAGAAATACAACAGAGGCAGCACCTCCAGTGTCCCCTCATGTCCCTTCTGTTGACTGGAATATTTTTAAATTTTCCTGCATAAAGCTCACCTCATTCCTATTTCTTACATGTCTTCCTGATTTGGGCTAGCGTTATTTTAGGCGTCTTTGAAAAAAAGAAAAAAAAGAACCTTCACTGAAACTTGGCTCTTCCTCCTCTCGTAATCTCATCTCTTGATCAATCTGCTTCCGTTAAACCCTAGTGTTCTGTGTGGCTTCCGAGTCATAACTCAGGGAATGTGGGGGCTGGAAAGAAAATGCAGCTGTGAGGCAATGGCTAGAGATGGTCCTTGGAACTTGGTTGCGAGCTGGTGGGTTTGTGAGGAGGTGATGGATGAGCCAACCATTCACTGTCTTCTATGGGGCGACAGTGGCAGAAGAAGTTTCCTGGTTCCCAGCTCTCTGGCAAGGTTCTAAGCATTGTTCGTGACAGATAGGAGCTCTCATCTAGAACCACAGACCTGTGGGCACAGGCCCACCCCCAGAGATCTCTGCTCTCCTCCTAGTTCCACTTTAAACTCATGTTCCTGTGTCCCTTGCCTGCTCATTTGCTTAACATCTGAATAAAAATCGACTTTTCAGGGTGTCCACGTGAGAGCTGATGTGCTTTTGTAGTGCAGTCAGGTCCAGTCCCTGACTCTCAGGGTGCCCGGAGCCAGCAGCTTCAGTCTTCCTCCTGCGCTTTGTCTCCAGCAGCACCAGCCTCTCCTGAAATCCTAGAGTAGAGATTTAGAGACACCAGCAGCAACACCTTGGCTGTCTGATAAAGTGGTATTTGGATACTGGAACTTCCAGATAACCAAAATTGTAACCATTCACATACTCTGGTGTTCCATTAAAAAAAAAAAAAAAAATCCCTGTGGATGGGGTTATGGCTCAGTGGTGGAGCACTAGTCTAGCATGTGTGAGGCACTGGGTTCAGTCCTCAGCACCACATAAAAGTAAATGAATAAAATAAAGGCATTGTGTCCATCTACAACTAAAAATATTTTTTTTTAAAATCCCTGCCTTCTGGGGTAGAAAAGAATTCTAAACAACAACTAATAGCTTTGCCCTAAGGAAAACCATAGTTCTAAATTGGTTCCAAGTATGGGAGTTGCCTGGACTTTCATTTATTTGGCAGGGGGAGATACCTCTTAGGGGGATTCACCTCTTTCTTGGTAAAGATAACAAGATTGTGAGGCTCCGGGAGCTCCTGGGGCGTTTTGTTAATAACAGAATCTGAGCCTTAAGCAACTTTGTAAGTAGCTCCTCTCCTCACAGGCTTTTAAGTGTTGAGCGCCCTCCTGTGCTGCAGGGATGGGCAGCTGGCATGGTGGGCCTAGGAGCACTCTCCTTCCTCAACATTTGTCCTCAGTATGCCCCTGGGCAACTTACCAGGCTGGCCTCAACTAGTGATCCCCCTGCCTCAGCCTCCCCAGTAACTGGGATTACAGAGGTGCCATTGTGCCTGGCTCTTCAGTGCCTTTATAAACAACAAAATACCTCTGCCTGTTACAGCACAGTTCGGTGTTCAAATGAAGGTTCAAAAATTATGAATATTGTAGGGCTGGGGCTCAGAAGAAGAGTGCTTGCCTAGCATACATGAGGCACTGGGTTCCATCTTCAGCACCACATAAAAACAAATAAAGGTATTGTGTCCACCTACAACTAAACAATAAATGTTTTTAAAAATTATGAATTTTGTGTGTGTGTGTGTGTGTGTGTATGTGTGTGTGTGAATCCTTTTATATCCTCAAAGCTTTAGTAAATTTTTAAGGGAAAAAATAAACATAAACTTCATCACCATACTATATGTATATGTGGGACTCTTGGGAACATTAAGACTGCCAGGTTCAGTAGTATCTAATTTTTAAAGCACTTACTGTTCACACTTACCAGCTGTCACATATTTGCCATGTTATTGTATACATATGTATGCTTAAACCCAGTGACTGACATCTGTGGCTAGAGGCTGGCCAGCATCACACTTAAGCACCGATGTGTTAAAGTTCAGGCCAGGTTTCTGTTTGGAACTGAATGAGCCTCAGTGGTCATTAATGCAGCCTGGCTGATCAGCCTTGTCTACCCTTTCTACTGTTATACATTTCACTTCAAAATGTCAGTTAATGCACTAACCTCAAACACCTTAAAGCATTCCAGTTTTCAATTTGGCTATGGGTACAGCATTGTTCAGCATCTCAAATAAATCATTTTGTAAAAAATTTTATCAGCTTCCTTTCAGAATTTTGCAGTGTGGTACATAGTAATACCACTCCACTTACTAGTCCACATTCCCTTTGCTCACTGGTCTGGAGTTGTTGTCACATCTCTTTTCTCTCTTAAAATACCTTCTGCCTTTTGCCTTGTGTAGCCAGTTTAGAATTCCTAGGGTGTGTTTGTATTTTCAGATTAGTCTCATGGCCTGGCCTGTCTAATTCACAGGAGGCAGCATTGGAGAGAACATTCATTTGGAATCTGAAAACCTGCACGTGGTTCTTAGGTATGGGAGGTTAATAGCTTATAATCTTGGGTAGCCATTTCATCTTTTCCCCCCACCATTTTTATTGGTACATTATAGTTGTACATACTGATGGAATTTGGTTTTACATATTTGTACATGCACACAGTATGCAGTATAACTATAATTTGGCCAAAATTTCAGTCCCCATCACTCCCTACCATACACACCTCCCAACCCTTGGCCCCCTTCCTCCACTGATCTTCCTTTGATTTTCATAAGATCTGCCTCCACATTTTCCTTTTCCCTCTCTAGCTTCCACATAGGAGAGAAAACATGACCCTTAATCTTCTGAGTTAGACTTATTTTGTCTAATGGTGTCTAGTTCCATTCATTTTCCTGCAAATGACATAATTTCATTTTTCTTTATGATGATTCTTTATTGACTCTCATTTATATACTATGTTTTCTTTATCCATTCGTCCATTGGTGGACAGCTAGGTTGGTTCCATAGTTTGGCTATTATGAATTGTGCTTCTATAAGCATGGGTATGCATGTATTACTATAGTATGATGACTTTAATTTTTGAAGATAAATATGAAGGATTAGTATAATAGTCATATGGTGGTTCCATGCCTAGTCTTTTGAGGAACCTGCATACTGATTTCCTTAGTGGTACTACTAATTTGCAAACCCACCAACAGTAACCACCCCCCATACACTTTTTTAAGTCTCCAGCATTTATTGTGCCATTTCATCTTTCTTTCTTTACTTTCTTCCTCTCTGTGTGGGTGTATGGTTTGTTGTTAGGGATATTGAACTCAGGGCCCCCTGCATGCCAGGCTGTACGTTTCATTTTTCTAGACCTGTTTTCATAGAAGGTTTAGGGATTAAATACCTTATACCTGAGTTGTGCTGGTTGGTGGGCTTGGAAGCCCACTCTCACGCCTTGACCTTCTCTCTTACATAAAAGAGCTGCCAAGTAACTGTTGAACAGGATCTCTGCTGGGTTGTTAATCACATTAGCATTATCTAACCTGGACACCACATGGGTCTTGAAGGTTGTTGAAGTGAGCAGGATTCATTCTTGGTCAATAGTCTTTCCATGCAAGGGCCTGTGATTGTGCTTTAAGCAGCAGCACTGTGGAGCTGCTTGGTGGACATCCCATCCTTGCAGAAAAGTAGAAAAGCTTTTGGGGAATCCTGTGATTGGATCCCTGTGAATTCTGGAGGTTGGCTAATACTTCAAATAAGACCTTTCACAAACTTAAGGGGTGGCATAATTGTCTTGTGGCTACCCTTTTGAAAGTGGAAAGGGAATGATTGATTTGTTTTTCTTCTTTTCAGGTTTTGAATGAAGAATGTGATCAGAACTGGTACAAGGCAGAGCTCAATGGGAAGGATGGCTTCATTCCCAAGAACTACATAGAAATGAAACCACACCCGTAAGTGGGGCTCATGATCTGCCAAGGCAGGGCCCACCTGCTTGTTTCAAATACTGTTTTTAAAACAGAGACCATCGTGATGAATGTCATGCCATTTATTCTCTCTGTTTGGGGAACAAGCCCAGCATGTTGACCTTGTACATTAAGCATTGTATATAATGATAGTACAATAGTGATGGTATACATTTTAGATTAATACCTATCAGTTATCTTCAAAAATAAAACAATACTTTACAAGTCCATACCTTTTTCTTTAAAACCCTTGGGCCAGATGTGTTCCGTAATTCCACACTTCTTGAGTTTCAGAGAAGGTACTTACTACATGGTTTTGTGTTGGTATGCTGGGTAACCTTGTGAGAGTATGCCAAGCTTGGTGTTGTAGGTAATAGTTCTCTGTAAGTGCTTGTTCTTCCATGTTAGTGTTCATGTTTCAGTTGGAAGGAAATGTGTTCTCCTCCAAGTTGCTGACAGTAGTAAGAATTTTGAATTTTCTGCTTTATATAAATAATCAGCATAGTGGGACCCTGAGGATCCTTAAAGGCTGCTGACCTCCCATCTCACCCACTCCTCTTTGCCTGGCCCTGCTTCTACTTCAAAAATGATCATTTCTATTTTCTTCTTTTGTGTGATTACTAGAGACTGGATCCAGGGGTACTTTCCCACTAATCTACATCCCCAGCCCTAAAAATTGTTTTGAGACTGTATCTCACTAAATTGCTGAGGCTTGCCTCAAACTTGCCATCTTCCTGCCTCAGCTTCCTAAGTAGCTGGGATCACAGAGTAGCTAGGGTTACAGGCATATGCCACCATGCCCAGCAACATAAGCATTTTGAATCAGTCTGTTGAGAGAAGATAGGAAAGGCCACATCTTTGGTGAAGTTGTCATTACCGACCTTGATTGGAAAGTCACTCTCACGCCTTGACCTTCCCGCTTATATAAAGAGCTGCCAAGAAACTGTTGAACAGGAACTCTACTGGGTGGTTAATCACAGACCCGCTGAAGGGCAGGCAGTGCTCCTTCACTTTATGCTCTGAAAAGGAAAACTGAAATTCAAAAGCTCTTCTTTCTCCAAGCCTACCATATTGCTAGAAAAGACCATGCTTGTGCCTGTGTGAAACTGTGACTTTACAAGCACATGCTCCCACCCCCGTGGGACTGCCAGGTGAGTAGACATAGATGTGGTATAATGCAGAGACAAGGACTCTCCTCTCTTCTTTCTTTATTTGTTGGAGAGGAAAAGGGAAATATAAAATGGAAGTACCACCTCTCCTGGTGTAGTGTTTGTGTTAGCATATGGAACACAGACCACGAAACAGTTGTTACAACAATGCTGTGGCAGGAGTGCTATGGGCTGGCGTGGATCCACATATGTGCTCCTCACAGGAATTACTTATAGACAGGAGCCTGTGGCATGCTCTAAATAATTAAATTGGAAAATGAATCTCTCCTCCCCTTGGCTTTCTCCCTTGCTGTTTCTAGTTTAGTACCAATCCCATCTTTTTAAAGATTTGTAGAACATTGACTAGAGGCACATAGTTACCCATAAGTATCACCACTAACAGAAGCTTGTCATGTTTGATGTGTAGCTCAGTGGTAGAGTTTACCTAGCATGCATGAGGTCCTGGGTTCCATACCCAGAATAGCAATAATAAAGAAGCCAGACCTGCCTGGGCAATTTAGCTGGATGCTCATGTGCTTGCTCATGCGTGCAAGCGTTTCTCTCTTGGGCATGCACGCTCTCTCTCTCTCTCTCTTTTTTTTTTCTTGAGACAAAGTCTTGCTAAGTTGCCCAGGCTGGCCATGAACTTGTAATTCTCCTGCCTCAGCCTCCTGAGTCATTGAGATGTCAGGCATGTGCCTCTGTGCCCTGTGAGAACCCGTCTCCAAAAATTTCATTTTAGCTCAGTTAGTAAAGTGCCCTGGGGTTCAGTTCTCGATATTGTAAAATAATTAATAAGGACTATCAATTTTATAAATGATATAAAATGCAGTGTGGCTACAGAGTGGGGGTGGCTAGGTGTCTTAATTGATGCTAGCTCTTAATTACATGCATGATTCCCTTCTGCTGCATGGGATGTCTGTCAAAAAGGGAGTATGAGTATTTCATGAGATACACAAGAAATCTTTGTTTAGTGAAATGGTCTTTAAAGTAATTTTTCAGTTTGTGATCTAGGTTTTTATAATAAAGATGTATTTAACTATAAATCTTCAAATTTGAGCACTTTTCTGTATAGCAACTTACAGTTCACTATGATTTTCTTTTAAATTGGAAATGAAATTGAGTTCATTTTAAGTTAGGACAAGAAAACATTGTAACTTATGTGGATTTATGCCCCTGAGGAAAGGTCTAGAAATATATACAGCTGGCCAGCAAGTTGCTGCTTGGGGGGATCCAGGAAGTCTTTAATTTTTTATTTGTAGATGGACACAATACCTTTATTTTATTTTATTTTATTTTTTAAAGAGAGAGTGAAAGAGGGAGAGAGAATTTTAATATTTATTTTTTAGTTATCGGCGGACACAACATCTTTGTTTTGTATGTGGTGCTGGGGATCGAACCTGGGCCACACGCATGCCAGGCGAGCGCGCTACTGCTTGAGCCACATCCCCAGCCCCCCTTTATTTTATTTATTTATTTTTATGAGTGCTAAGGATCAAATCCAGTGCCTCACACGTGCTAGGAAAGCACTCTACCACTGAGCTACAACACCAGCCCGAGGAAGTCTCTTTTTATTTGCATTCATGTATATGTAGGCCATTTTAATTCATATTCATTACTTTATTATACTTTTTAAAAAGAAAAGATGGAACCTGTGATCTCAGCAGCTTGGGAGGCTAAGGCAGGATGATCACAAGTTCAAAGCCAGCCTCAGCTAAGCAACTCAGTGAAACCCTGTCTCTAAATAAAATACAAAATAGGGCTAGGGGTGTGGCTCAGTGGTCCAATGCCCCTGAGTTCAATCTCTGGTACCCTGAAAAAGAAGTTGGCTAGGCAGAGTGGCACACACCTATAACCCTAGGTACAAAGGAGGCTAAAGCAGAAGGATGGTAAGTTTGAGGCCTAGACAACTTAGCAAGACCCTGTCTCAAAAAGAATTGGGATTGTAGCTCAGTGGTAATATGTTCTAACCCTAGTACTGCAAAAATGAATGAATGAATGAACGAACAAATGAACCAACCAACCAACAAACAAGTTGGGAAGATCTTGAGGTCCAAGAGAAGAGAATAGTTTTTAAGGACCCCCCCTCCACCTCAGTGCATTGTGGAAGTGAAGGCAAGGCTGTTGTGGGTCCTCCCAGCAGCTGTGGTTCCTCCCCTAGCAGTGGCCAGTCAGATGTACACTGCTCACAAGTATAGCCTACCCTTGAAAGCACCAGGGAACTGAAAATGTGCCTCTGTGCTGGTAGCCGTTCTTTCATCTTCAGAGATCATTCTTGTCTATTATTATGGAATTTCTTTTGTGTGGCCTAATTCCCAGGCACTGCAGGACTTGCCCTTGAATGTTTGTAGAAGGGGTGAGGGCGTTGTACAAGCACCTCTGCAGCCTGGCATCAGAGCAGGCAAAGTGGGAAAGAGTAAGTAGATTTGGGGCAGCTTCTGATTCTCTCTCAGCAGCTTGCATCCTTCTACCTGAACTTCAGAGTGATGTAGTATTTTAAAAATGCCTTGTAGTGTGGTTGCTTCTAAGTAGGATAGATAGAAGGGTTATATTTACAACTTTAATGGACTGATTGGTGCATTATAGTTTGCAAATTAAATGAATGCTAGTTACCATGTAAGGTAGGTCTTAGCTGTAAATGATTTTGCTTTTTAAAAATAATTAAACATTGAAGATGATTGTGGAAAGAACGTTGTCTTCACCATTCTTCCATCCTAATTGGTAATGGTTTTCATTTGAAATAGCCAGGCAGCCATGGCCTTGAGCTCTTTTAGAGATGTCCCCTCCTCCTGTTGAGCCACAGGCCAGTTGCTCCCATAGTTTTCCAGTAATTCAGCCACTTTTTCTTATGACCAAAGTGAATGATCATTAGGAGCAGAAAAGTCTGTAACTTGGTTCAAATGAAAAATCTGAATTTTGCAACCAGCTGCTGCGCATGTGGTAAATTTTGATGTTCTCAACGTTGTGGGGGTTTTGAGTTTTTGTTTTTTTGCGGTGCTGGGGATTGAACTCAGTGCTTCAAGCTTGTTAGACAAGTGTTCTGCTACTGAGCCATGTTCTCAGCCCCTTCCAGGTGGCTTTTGAAAACTGAACACTGAGCAGTGACTCCAGAGAAAGGTCCTGAGAGGAATGCTGACTTTCATAACTGGTAGAGGCTGCCTTCTCACAGCCTGAACCTTCTCCCTTTGGACTTTTAATAGAATTAGCCCCACCACCAAGTTCTGGGCCTTCCAAATTGCCTCCCTTCCCCTGTGTCCCTCTTCCCACTGAGGCAGAGCTGCAGTTTTATCCATTGGCTGCAAGAAGTGTCATTGTTGTCTCCAATAAGCCTGGATCATTTACCCATAGGCCTGGGACTCTCCTGGGCACCTTTCTAATGAGTGGGTCAGGAACTGGAGGACTTTGGTTTGGAAGGCCCATTTTCAAGTTTCTTCCTCTATAGAAAGAGTGACCTTTGATAGTGATAGTGCCTTGATGAGTCACTTTCTGGGAAGTGGATGGGGTGAAGCCATTTGAAAGTCCATCTTTTAGGGAGGACCCTACCCAATGTCCTCCTGTCTTGGGCACAGTGAGACCAAAAGGTAAGGGTGAGCCCCTTCCTCTGGCAAGAGGTGTTCTGTTACTCACATTTAAGGCTGGACATCCGTTTCTTTGTGGAGAAACAGATGTTGACTGGTTTGTCTTCCTTCCTTAGGTGGTTTTTTGGCAAAATCCCCAGAGCCAAGGCAGAAGAAATGCTTAGCAAACAGAGGCACGATGGGGCATTTCTAATCCGAGAGAGTGAGAGTGCTCCTGGGGATTTCTCCCTCTCCGTCAAGTAAGTATTTCCTGCTGTGGTTGCTGGAAGCCTGTGCCTGATTCACTAAGTCGTGAGGCCATTGATCAGGTGTCTGGCTACATACAAACTGGTAGAGGTGTAGCCTAATCAGTATTTTTAATTTTACCTTAAAATCCTAATGTCTAGTTCCTCATAAAACTTGGTTCTAGCAACACTAGCTTAGATTCTGCAGTGGAACTGAGGAGTAGTCCTCTCAGACAGTACTTTTCCCTAATCACGACCACTCTCGGTTTCCCTGCCCTTGCTGGGATTCCTGCCACTCCATAACAGAATAACTTGTTTGCCATTTTAGCTGCCTTTGCTTGCCTTTACCAGAGAGCCAGCTTACCTATCAGCCCCGTCCTAGGCCTCTCTCACTAACTTCAAAAGGTCACCATAACAGCTGGGCGTGATGGCTCACACTTGTGTTACCAGAGGCTCAGGAGGCTGAAGCAGGAGGATTGCAAGATCGAAGCTAGCTTCAGTAATTTAATGAGACCCTAAGCAACTTAGCAAGACCCTGTCTCAAAATAAAAAGGACTAGGGATGTGTCTCAGTGGTTAGGCAGTCCTGGGCTCAATCCCTGGTACACACAGCACTGTGAGGGATTTGGATTTACTTCCCCAATGGAGCTGGTAATCAGGGAATGGGGAAGAAGGAGTCTCACCTTGGGAATCTCAGTGAATAGCAGCTGGGATTTTAAGGAGTCTGTGAAAGTCACACCTCATCTGTGAAGTGAGGATTTTGAGTTTACATTGTCCATAGTTTTTTACTCCTAGTCCTTTTCTAGTTCCTATATTATTATAGGAAACCCCCAAGGAATCTTACAAACTGCTTCATCATTTACATATGGAGAAGCACTAGGTTAAACATGCAGATCACTATTTTATCATAGGTTACTCTTCTTTTTGTGGGGTGGGATTACTGGGACTTGAACCCAGGGACACTCTTACCACTGAGCTACATCCCCAGCCCTTTTTATTTTTTATTTTGAAGTAGGGTCTCACTAAGGTGCCCAGGCTGGCCTTGAACTTTCCTGCCTCCTGCCTCAGCCTCCCATGTAGCTAGGATCACAGGCATAGCCACTGCACCCAGCAGTTGTGTTATTTTTCTAAGTGAAAATAAGAGAGGTTTCAGGTGATATTTGGAATGTCTCATAAATACACTTGCAATGTAGTTTTTATTTCCACCATGTGAAAACTGTGTTATAATAATCACAGTTTTCATCTGGTAACAAAGGCTTTTTGAAGTATTTGAGCATATTTGAGTAAGATTCTAATGAGGAACATTCTGGGGTGAATCGGTGAAATCAAAATCTTTGTGTTTCTCATTAGCTCAAATTGTTTTCCTTATTTTTTTTTTTAAGATTGAACCCAGGGCTGGGAATGTGGCTCAAGCGGTAGCGCGCTCACCTAGCATGCGTGCGGCCCGGGTTCGATCCTCAGCACCACATACCAACAAAGATGTTGTGTCCACCGAGAACTGAAAAATAAATATTAAAAATTCTCTCTCTCCTCTCTCACTCTCTTCAAAAAAAAAAAAAAATTTAAAAAGATTGAACCCAGGGGCTGTCTACCACTAAGTAGCATTCCCATACCCCAACCCTATTTATTTATTTATTCATTATTATACTTACATTTGAATTTTATTTATTTTTTTAATAAAGTGTTTTTATTAGTACATTATAGTTATACACCCAACCCTTTTTATTTTTGAGTCAGAGTCTCACCAAGTTGCCCAGGCTGGCCTCCAGTGTTTGATCCTTCTCTCTTGACCTCCTGAGTAGTTGATGTTTTCCTTACATTTTATACTGACCCACATGGAAATTAAGCAGTTTAAGATGAAGGTGACAAGTAAGTAATCAGAGGGCAGCAGCCAGAGCCACCAGGCCTGCCAGTGTTGAGCTGTGACTGCCTGTTCACCAATCACTGCACACGCTCCTACTGCAAACCAAGAAGACCAAACCATTCCCTTTTATCAAAATCTTTTGAGGAGTTTTATTATTTCAGAAATAAAATATGAAGCAGATGTCATAACTATCCTTAACACAAATATCTTTGCAAAGGGAATTCAGGAAATACCAAGTCTCTGAGATATTTCTCTAGTTTTAAGATAGTCAGTAATTTAAAATACTGTGCTTGAGCAGGGCACTTCATGCACATTCATTATATACTGTGTTTTTTTATTACAGCACCTGCTGTAATCCTAGTGACTTGGAAAGCAGTCACCCCTATTTGCAGTTTTGCCTTCCTTAGTTTCAGTTACCCAAGGTCAGTTGCAGTCGGAAAAATATTAAGTGGGAAATTCCAGAAATAAACAACTCATATGCTTTAAATAATTTTTATTAATTGCATCATATTGTGGCTGTTGTTTTATTCTTAATCTTACTGAAACTTAAACTTTATCACAGGTGTGTATGTTTAGAGTAAAACCTGTATAGAATTTAATATTATTCATGCTTTCAGGCATCCACCCAGTGTCTTGGGACATACCCCTGAGGTTACCCTGGAACAACTGTGCGGTTTGCAGATGCTTGGCTTGAAGCTCACTGGCTTGAAGCTCAGTGCTGCCACCTGCCTGATAACCTTCATGAAGTGTTTGGTTTATTGAAGCTCTAAGACAAGAGGACAGCCTCCATTCTTTGAATGAATGTGCATGAAGTGCCTTTTGAGGGCATGGCATCCAGAAGGATAGCAGAGTCCTCATGTAGCTTCTGTTCTAGCCAGATGTGGCTTTAACGGACTCTATGAGTCAGTACCAGTTACACACAAGCAGTTTTTAATAGTACAAAAGGAAGTATATTATCTGGCAATGGAGAAGTTATTTTATTGTCCAGCATATCCTTTTTCTCATGGAAAGGGGAAAGTAAACCAAAATTCTCGAATGAAAAATTTATTCCCAGTTATAAGAGAACCATTGGAAGTATTTCTGATCCCTCTTACTTTATTTCCTGTCCCATATTTTCTAGTTTTAAAATGTCATATCACATTTTAATTATTTTTATTTCAAAGGAAGTCAGTTAAGTCTTTTATTTGGCACAGTGCAGGCCACAAGTGAGTTTGACTTATTTCATGTAACATAATGGTCTGAAGTTCCATCCATTTTCCTGCAAATGACTTAATTGCATTTTTCTTTATAATTGAATAAAACACCATTATGTATTTATACCATGTTTTTTCTTATCCGTTCCTCCATACCAAAGAATGGTCTAACTAGAGTTCCATTCCTTGGGGCTGGAGATGTGGCTCAAGCAGTATCGTGCTCGCCTGGCATGCGTGTGGCCCGGGTTCGATCCTCAGCACCACATACAAACAAAGATGTTGTGTCCGCCGAATACTAAAAAATAAATATTAAATTTTTTTTTAGAGAGAGGAGAGAGAGAGATAGAATTTTTAATATTTATTTTTTAGTTCTCGGTGGACACAACATCTTTGTATGTGGTGCTGAGGATCGAACCCGGGCCGCACGCATGCCAGGCAAGCGCGCTACCATTTGAGCCACATCCCCAGCCCAAATATTTAAAAAATTTAAAAAAAAAATAGAGTTCCATTCCTAGTCTATTGAGGAACCTTCAAGGATATTCTTGATTATCTTACAAGCATCATGAGTCAAACTGGTGGGTGAGATTCTCCCTCTTCGTATTGTTCCTGGTAACCCTCAGCAGCAATGCTCAGTGACTGCCCCAACTTTCTCCAGCCTGGGCCCTGTCAGAAATGTTGCCAGAAAAGGTTCTGTCCACACCAACATGGACAGACAACCCCTGACTAGCCAGCTCAGTGCACTTTGACCTTTCACATGTGTTCTCTCTGCCTCCCCAGGTTTGGAAATGATGTGCAGCACTTCAAGGTGCTCCGAGACGGAGCTGGAAAGTATTTCCTCTGGGTGGTGAAATTCAATTCTTTGAATGAATTGGTAGATTACCACAGATCAACATCTGTGTCCAGAAACCAGCAGATATTCCTTCGAGACATAGAGCAGGTGCCACAGGTAAGCCTGAGCTCCCTGGAGACAGCTTGGGATTATGTCTGGCAGGGAGGAATAGCTCTTTAAGCCAGCAGGTACCCTCCAGAGGGAGACTTCTGGGGCTTCTGTCACATCATTCAGAACGTCACCTCTAGTTTATGTTGAAGATCTGTAGTTTAAAATAAGATGGTTTTGCCTTTTTCAGGGGCACTTCTTTGAGGCAGTGTTGCTAGTATGCCACCTGCCTCTCTAGGGACACAATTCTTAACATATTTTTTAGATGTTGTACTTGAAAGCAGATTGTGAAGAAGGTCAGACCTGTCAGGGTGTGCGGTCCACACTCATTCCTACTCCTTATATCCCAGCCATAAGTTATGGCTTGTTTGACTTTTATTCAAACTCTCACCCTTTTAACCCTATAAAACCTTAAGGGTATTATAAGTGATAGGAATGAAAAGATTTTAAAGTCTACCAACAAAACCCAACTTTCCCCCCATCCTCAACCTCCCTATCGCTCCTATTTGATGATGTGACACTTTGGCTGCCCATAGTGAGATATGCCTCAATATTCTTTGAGCATTGGTGAAAGATTACCCTAAAAACCATTTATGAAACCTAGGAAATGTAAGAATAAGCTGGGTGTGGTGGTAGATTCCTGCAATCCCAGTAATTTGGGATTGAGGCAGGAGGATTACAAGTTCAAAGCCAACCTCAGCTTCTTAGGCCCTAAACAACTTAGAGAGACCCTGCCTCAAAATAAAAACAGAAAAAGGGCTGGGGATGTGGCTCAGTGGCTAAGCGCCCCGGGGTTCAATCTCTGGTACCGAAAAAGAGGGGAAAAAAAAAAAAAGAAGAAAGAAGGAATAAATGAGGGAGGATGCACACTGTAGCTACTTCAGGAAACATGAGAATTAGCGCATATTTATTCCCCCTTGTAAACGGTTGGGCTTACGGAGCTGTTAGCAGGATCAGGAATGGCGTGTGTGTTTCCCTGTTCCTCTTTTGCAGCAGCCAACATACGTCCAGGCCCTCTTTGACTTTGACCCCCAGGAGGACGGTGAGCTGGGCTTCCGCCGGGGAGACTTCATCCATGTCATGGATAATTCAGACCCCAACTGGTGGAAGGGGGCTTGCCACGGGCAGACCGGCATGTTTCCCCGCAATTATGTTACCCCCGTGAACCGGAACGTCTAAGAATCAAGAAGAAATTATTTAAAGAAATTGAAAACACAAAAGAAACATACCCACAAGCTGCCTGTAACAGCAGCCTGTGAGGGAGCTCAGAACACCTGGCTGGGTCACACTGGTGACCTTCTCACTTTGGTTGGAACTTTGGGGGGTGGGTGGGGTGTTGGATATCAAAATGCCAAAACTTACCTATTGAATTAAGAAGAGTTTTTATTACAGATTCTCACCGCTGCTCCTGTTTCCCTTCCTATGTCCTTTTTCTCATCCTTTTTCTCTGTCCTTCGGTGCATGAATTTAAGGCCTCATATAGTCCCAGCTGATGCCAATAATAAAAGAAAAGAAATCAAGTGGGCTGTATTTTCTCTATGCAAAATGTCTGTCTTAGTGAAAATGACTGAAAGGAGAACAGTGAGTCTGTCCTCCATATGCACACACAGCAGGAGCTGCAGGGCAGCTGCCTCAGCTGGGTTTTCCCCCAGGTATTTCATCACATTGGAACTAGAGTCAGGAGGGAGGCATGCTGCCCACCCTATGGCTTCCTGAGAAAGTCAGACTGCAAACCTGCGCCTCTCTCTCTTCGTTCCCAGTGTCATTGACGGTGTTGTTTCTTCATAGTGCCTTTTTCCTTATTTCAAGGGTTACTTAGGCGTGGTGGCTTCTGTTTTGTTTTAAAATAAGTTAAAAACAGTCCAGAGCTTTTCAGCCAATTTGTCCCCTACTCTGTGTAAACAGTTTTTCTTCAGGAGAAGGGAAAGCCGGGTAGAGAAAGGAGACAGTACAACTGAAGGTGGGTGACCTGCCTGTACTGAGCCAGGAGTGTCTGCAGCTCAGCTTCAGTACTTATGAGGCCCTAGATGCTGGCCGTGATCAGTGGAGCAGCTGCTGACCCCACAAGCCTGGTGCATCTGGCTGCAAGGGTGGCACAGTGCTTGACCTCCAGGTCTCAAGTATGCTCTGCCCTCCTATCCCCAGAGTCTGCCAGGCACAAACTCCTGGAGCCAGCAGGTTGCAGATAAGGAAGGCAGAAAATGGCACCTAAGCCATTTTCAGTCTTCACAAGTCTAACCTTATTATGCCTATGCTGGGGTGAGAATTCAGAGTATTTACTTTTTGTTTTTCTTGCTCTTAAATTTAGGTCCAGGCTTTCATTTATGTGTCCCCTGACCTTCAAGGGGGTAGTGGCAGGAAGCAAGACTGGCTTTCATGTCTCTTTCACAGAGGATTGTGTTTGCACCTATTCCCAACACCCCATCCTTGGAAGCTGGAAGAGTTGAGGAAGGTGAAGTGGGAAAGACAGGAAGGCCAGGCCACTCAGAGCTCTGTCTACCTTCTGCTGACTCTCGGTCCCTCGTAGCAGTGTGCCTGCTAACTGCTTCTCTCCACACAGTCACCCTTCCCCTAACAAAAACAAGGTCACCTCTCTTTCTCTCCCTGGAAGTTGGCAGCCTTTGCCCTTTGTGTTCCTAGGGGTCAGTGGAATCTCCGCTGGACTCTGCTTGTGGAAATGGACTTGGCCTGGAGAGCCTTAAGGCCCAGGAGACGTTGACTCTTCTGGCCCAAACAGTCCTCACCTCTCCTTCTGCTCCTTCTTTCCCCACTTATGATAAGAGAACTCTCTGGCGTTCTACCCCTGGACCATTTGATTGTTTTATTTTGAAATTGGTGTATATCATGAAGCCTTGCTGAACTAAGTTTTGTGTGTATATATTTAAAAAAAATCAGTGTTTAAATAAAAAGACCTATGTACTTAATCCTTTAACTCTGCGGATAGCATTTGGTAGGTAGTGATTAACTGTGAATAATAAACATACAATGAATTCTTCACTCTGTATCTTTTTTCCCCCCTGCTTTATTAAAAACTTAAAACCATAATGAGTTAGGTCAGGGAGTCAGGACTCTTGGATCCTCTCTCTTCAACTCACCTAGTTTACATTGCCCTTTGGGAGCAAGTGGGTCTCCAACCTGGCTGTTCTTCAGAATTGGGGCAGAGGGGCTTACTAATAATACAGGCTTGCAGACCCCACCCTCAGATCCTGGGACAGACATCTCGAGAGCACAAACAAGACAGCTGGATTTTTTTTGTTATATGCCAACAGCATTGATAAATATTATATGATAGTGATATCGATTAGTTTCTACTTATTACTCAAAACTTTAAAAACGGGCAGTTTTATAAAGACTTGCTATGTCCTGCCTGAGAGAAAGCACCAAGAGTCTCTCAAGACTTGATTCTAGCCCATCCATAGGCAGCACTGATCTTGGGTGTCAACAGCCTTATTTTTTACTACTCCGGAATTAGAGTTTAGAAAGCATAATGGTGAGTGTGGTTGTGCACACCCAAAGTCCCAACTCAGGAGGCTGAGGCAGAAGTATTTCAAGTTCAAGACCAGTCAGGGAGAGTTAGCAAGACCTCATCTCAATAAAAAGGGCTGGGGATGTAGCTCAGTGGTAAAATATCACTGGGTTCAGTTCCCAGCACAAAATAGAAAAGCACAGCCCTGGCAACTGCCCCTGAATGTGACTTGACGCTTCAACAATGCCTACCTCAGAATCAAAACTGCCAGGCCTTTGCCTTACTGCTTCTCATCATCCTGGGCTGTGCTAAGGAAGGAGAGGACTAGGAATGGCCTCTCCCTTACCTCTATGGGACTGTGGATGGCTCCTGATAGTAATTTTATTCCTGTGACATGCAGCATCTCTTCTGGCTCAGTAATTGGGAACATCTGCCAGTGAGAGGCCGAGGAGAGCCCTGAACACCCTTCCCAGACCATCAGCCACCCCTCTCCACTCCTGCACAGTGGTCATCCCTGCTGGGTCATCCTGATATTAGAAGTGTTCCCACTTTGACCTTCCGTGTTTGGTACAGAAGCATTCTTCAGTCCTAATTTTCATACTGACATGCAAGTTGTAGACTGAGCAAATTTCAGAGAAGTGTGGACAGCTCACAACCCTAGGACAAGGACTTGGAGACAGATGGTGGGTCACATTAGCTTGACCTAGGTGTTAGGTGAAATTATTTGGATTTTTTTTTTTTTTTTTTTGGTACTGGATTGAACCCAAGGGCTCTGTACCATTGAACCACATCCTCAACCCTATTTTGTATTGTATTTAGAAAGACAGGGTCTCTCACTGAGTTGCTTAATGCCTCTATTTTTGCTGAGGCTGTCTCAGCCTCCCAAACCACTGGGATTACAGGTGTGCGCACTGCACACAGCTAGGTGGGCTTTGAAACTCCTGCCTCTGCTGGGATTACAGACACATGCCTGGCTTCCCCCCCACCCCCCATATAACAATAATTGAACCCAGGGGTGATTTGCCACTGAGCTACATTCCCTTTTATTTTTTGATACAGGATTTATACCAAGGCTGGCCTCCAATTTGGAATTCTCTTGCCTTGGCCTCCTGAGTTGTTGGGATTGTAAGCATGCATCATCACCACACCTGACTATTTGGGCAGTCATTAATAGGACAGTAGGGCTGGGATTCAACTCAGTGGTAGAACATATGTTTACATGCACAGGGTGCTGGACCAATCCCCTGCACACACACACACACACACAAAAGACGGTAGGCCTACAGGGCAGGTGGGATGGTGTGGACACAGTTCCTGGAGACGGCTCAGAAGGCACCTGAGCAGCCCTCTGCTGGGGTTTGTGAGGCCTTGAAAGCAGCTGCACGATGCTTACCCTCTTCTGTTCACTCCTAAGGCTTTCATTTGTCTTTTAAGGAGCACCATGGATCTCCTGACTTGCAGTAGTGCCCAGAACAGAACCTTGGAAAAACCAAGAGGCCAAGTTCACATTAGCTTAGGAAGTAGGAAGCTGGGTGGAGCCTCCCACTCACCCAGCTCGGCTTTCTCTCCTGGACAGTCAACTGTACAGTATGCCCAGCCTCAGTGTGTGTATGCATAGATGTGTGCTCGATGCTGGCATGAAGTATGTAAGCGACGTGTGGTTAGCCATGTGTACCAGGGGTTGAACTTGGGTGCTTAACCACTGAGCCACATCCCCAGTCCTTTCTATATTTTACTGAGACAGGATCTCACTAAGTTGCTTAGGGCCCTGCCAAGTTCTGAGGCTGGCCTTGAATTTGTTACTCTCCTGCCTCAACCTCCCAAGCTGCTGGGATTACAGGCTTGCACCACTCCTCCCAGCCTGCAGATTCCTTACTGTCCATATGCTGCCTCCTACCCTGGCTTCCCCAATGGACAGTAAGCCCTACAGGGCAGGAATTCAGTCACTGTGGCTTCCCTAGAATAAATAGTTCCTGAAACAGATGGGCTGCTCCACAGTATTTACCATCTGACTTAAGAATCATGTCCCAGGCACTACAAGGCCCATGGTGCCACATTCCCAGTCTTATGTGCAGAGAAAGCCAAGCAATGACACCTGCCATGGGGCAGCAGCTCTTGCCTGCCAGAGGTCAAGGAAGACCAGGCAGACAGGAGTGATGACTGCAGACCTGGAGCGGTGCTCTGGAAGGAGTATATGCCAGGTAAGATGAGCAGTCGCCCCCAGAAAGGGCTGTGTGCAGAGAGGAAGAGACAAAGGGGCCCTAGAAGATGCTGGTGCACCAGGTAGAGGCCAGGCCTAGTGGTCCTGGAAGCACAGGAAGGAGCTAAAAATGCACAGGCCCCTGAAACTAGTCCATTCATTTGTTTGGGTTTGGTTTTGGGGTCTTTGTTTTGAGTTTGGTACTGGGGATTGAACCCAGGAGTGCTCTATCACTGAGCCACATCCCCAGCCTTTATTATTTTATTTCCAAACAGTGTCTCACTAAATTGTTCAGGCTGTCAGCTTGCTATCCTATTCTGCCTCAGCCTCTTGAGTCACTGGGATTACAGTCATGTGTCATCGTGCCTGGCCATTTCTTTGTTTTTAAGAGCAGCTTTAGACCTTGAAGAGTTTGTTTGTTTGTTTGTTTGTTTTAAATATTTTTTTAGTTGTTGATGGGCCTTTGTTTTGTTTATTTATTTATATGTGGTTCTGAGAATCAAACCCAGTGCCTCACACATGTGGGCAAGCGCTCTGCCACTGAGCCACAAACCCAGCCCTAGACCTTGAAGTTTTGCTTAAAGTTTCAAAGCTATTTGTTACTACTATAACATATTCCCAAATCCTTTTTGCATCTCCAAGTGAGCACTCTAAGGTTTATATTCAATCTGATAAAAGACAGATAGCCAGGCTCGGTGGTGCACACCTGTAATCCAAGCAACTCATGAGACACGAGAATCGGGAGTTCAAAGCCAGCCTCAGCAATAGCGAGGCCCTATGCAACTCAGTGAGACCTTGTCTCTAAATAAAATCCAAAATAGGGCTGGGGATGTGGCTCAGTATTCGAGTGCCCCTGAGTTCAATCTTCAATACCAAAAAAAAAAAAAAAAGAAAAGACACAGATAACAACGGCAGCCCCAGATATCCTCAGGGACCAATTCAGACCTGTACCTGCATTCTGCTGGGACTTTACAGCCCCCAAGTCCCCCTCACCATTCCAGGAATCTGAAAATGAAAATCAAGTTTTCTTCATGAAAGGGCTCATCCCTGTTTGAGAGGCAAAGCTTCTATCTTTAGTTGTTCAATAAGTCATTAAGTCCCCCCACACACAGTTTGAGTCAGGTTTTGCACCACGATACAGATAACAGAAAAAAAATGGGTACTATATTCATTCACACACACACCTGAAGAAACACCTCAGTATGCTAAACCCCCTCAAGGATGGAAAAATCATAAAAATCATTTCTGAGGTGTGAGACTGCTGAAGATGATTTCAGCAAATTTGCCTAGCCTCTTAATGCATCAGAACGTGGATGCATTATTTTGTATTTTATTTAGAGACAAGGTCTCACTGAGTTGCTGAGGGCCTCACTATTGCTGAGGCTAGCTTTGAACTCGTGATCCTCCTCCCTCAGCACCCCAAGCTGCCGGGATTACAGTTGTGCGTCACTGTGCCCAGCCAGCCTCAGCAATTTAGCAAGGTTCTAAGTAGCTTAGTGAGATCCTGTCTCGAAATAAAATATAAGACACTGGGTTGTGGCTCAGTGGTAGAGTGCTTGCCTTGCACATGTAAGGCCCTGGGTTAGGTCCTCAGCACCACATATAAATAAACAAATAAAATAAAGATATATATATATACACACACACACACACACATAAACACACATAAAATACATATACACATAAAAAGGGCTGGGTTTGGGCTGGGGATGTGGCTCAACTGGTAGCGCGCTCGCCTGGAGTGCGTGCGGCCCGGATTCGAACCTCAGCACCACATACAAACAAAGATGTTGTGTCCGCCGATAACTAAAAAATAAATATTAAAAATAAAATTCTCTCCTCTAAAAAAAAGGGCTGGGTTTGTGGCTCAGTGTCCCTGGGTTCAATACCCAGTACCAAAAAAAAAAAAAAAAAGAACAGCTTTATTCAGTTACAACTAACATATCATACAAGTCACTTGTTTAAAGTAAGCCATTCAATGGTTCTTAGTAATTTTTAGTTATGCAATCATGACCATAATCAATATTAGAACATTGAAAGAGTTTTGAGCAGAGGAGCAGACAGGATCCTGTCCAGCAAACAGTGGGGAAGGAGCCCTGTGGAGACAATGCCATGTCCTGTGGGAGAGGCCGGTCATGATGACTAGAAGGCTCCTTGCTTGGGCAGTGGAACTGTGGCTGCTGTTGTAGGCCTGGGGGACCTCAAGGAGGAGCCTGGGGGCAGGAGGAGAAGAAAGGTGAACGTGTGCCTGAGGATGTGCCAGGGAAGCAGGGAGGTGCATTCACCTGAAGGCCAGGAGAAAGCTGAGCAAGGGCTCCAGCTCAGGGCTGG